AGTCACTAAGTTTTAGGATGATTTTTTTATGTAACAATATATAACCAAGTGGGTGTGGTGGTACATACCTGTAATCCCAGCAACTGGAGGATTGAGGAGGAGGTTGAGGCAGGAAGATTGCAAGTTTGAAGCCAATCTGGGTAATTAGCAAGACCTTGTCACAAAAAAATACAAGGGGCTGGGGATGTGAGTCAGTGGTAGAGTACTCCTAGATTCAATCCCCAGTACCAAAACAAAACAAATCAAATCAAAACCATAATTGTTAATAGAAATCTCCAAAATGAAATTAAAAGGCAGCCAACTAAGGTGTAATGAAATTGTACTGCCAGGAAACAAAACAACAGGGGCCAATAAAACTGTGAAACCTCTAAGGTATTATAGGGTCTTCTACCTTAGTAGTAGAAGGACAAAGACTGGGGAACAGTCCCCTATAGAGGAATCCTCTCCTATCTCCCTTTCAAGACTAGTTATTGGACTAGAGCTCAGCATTAGATCACCTGATTAGCATGCAGGAGACCCTGGATTCAAACCCTAGCAACACACATACACACACTCCCCACAAGAGTAGCTGTAAGAGACTTTGGACAAGGGAAATCTCCTAATGGTCATAACCCGAGATAACTTTATTCTCTAACCAAGCATTTCCCCATGGGAAGAAACTGCTACTGCATGAGAATGCAGAGATTGTTGTTGTTGTTGTTGTTGTTGTTGTTGTTTGGTGTACAACACAGGAGGAATCATTTTCAATGACTATCATATGAACAGTACCCTCTGGAGTTGCAAGTATGGTAATCCTGGTCAAGAAAATGGGGTAATGAACGATGTGGGTGAAATTTTCTGGCTTTACTGCCCTCTCTCTAACCAGCATTGAATGGAGTATATCTCATATTCACACATTGTATCTTATTTCCATGCTTAAATGAGAGGTTTATGTTCTGTTTTGTTCTTTTTTTGGGGGGGCGGGGGTGGAATACTAGGGATTGAATTTAGGAGCACTCGAACACTGAGCCACATCCCCAGCCCTATTTTGAATTTTTTTTAGAGACAGGATCTCACTGAGTTGCTTAGCACCTTACTGTTGCTGAGGCTGGCTTTGAACTCATGATCCTCCTTGTCTCAGCCTCCTAAACTACTGGGATTACAGGCATGCACTACTGCACCCAGCTCTGTTTTGTTCTTTAAGATGGGGTATCACTGTGTTGCCCAGGCTGGCACCAAACTGCTGAGTTCAAGTCATCCAACTGCCTCTGCCTCCCAACTAACTGGAACTACAGGCACACACTACAGCATCTGAATTAAATGAGAGTTTTCATCAAGATCTTTATTAGAATGGGTGAGGAGTGGTCCTTATTTGTTTGCTAGGGCTACCATAACAAAGTACCCCAGACTAGGCAACCTAGAAAGACTGCTGGTTAATAAGGCCAGCAAATTTCGCCAACCTCATTCATGAACACATTTTCTGGACCAGGCTCACCACACTTGCAACTCCAGAGGATACAATTCATATGACAGTTCTGGAGGCTAGAACTTCAAGATCAAAGTGTTGGTAGGCTTGCTTGCTTCTGTGGCCTTGCACCTTGGCTTCTATATTACCATCTTCTCCCTGTGTTTCCCCTCTGTACATGTCTGTGTACAAATTTTCTCCTTATAGGGATAC